CTGGAAAGCTACTGTACATTACTGCAGGAGTGTGAGTAGACAGACCAGAATGTTACCGTGTGTTAAAAAGATTGTAGGACCATACAGAAAGCTGCCATTGTTAGGACTTCTTCTCTAGGGACGACCCACAGGAACCTGGTGTCTTACATTGTATTGGTCCCAGATATCTCAGTCTATAAATCTTAGTCTTCTAAAAAATTGCCATTTGTGTCTTTTTACTCTTATGTTATCAGATGCTCTTTCGACTTTAGGTGCCCTAACTGTAAGAAAAGTGTGCATGGCATCGCCCCCCTAGCATTTTTTAAAGGTAGTGAGCAAAGATTCCATAAGAATGAAATCCGGGACCTTTCTGATACTACATGTGTGTCATAATAAATGCAGTTTAGACAGTGTCTTGTAGGCTGTTCTCCTCTTGGGTGTTGCAACACAGTAAGCAAGTCTAATTTACTCATGATATGTTGCAAATAGTTGCTATCTTCATTCTGTCAAATACCAGATGACTCACTTATAAGAATACCATTCTTCAGCCAGGTGGTAGTGACACATGCCTTTAATCCTAGCAGAGAGGCAGAGACAGGTGGATCTCCACAAGTTTGAGGCCAGCCATGTCTACAAAGGAAACTCCAGGACAGTCAGGACTGTTATACAGAGAAACCCTGTCTCAAAAAAACCAAAGAGGATACCAGTATTACTCATTCAGCATTGACCACACCCTTGTTTGGGAGAGAAAGGTCTGGAGCAAAGGACTAAAGTCAGGCAGTAGTGCATCTGCTGTTTTCCCTGAAGGTGGCCCTTGACTGGGACCTCTCTGCCATGTGTCTCCCTCCCTTTCCTGGCTTTGAGAAAAAGAGACTGAGAAGCACTGGGGCAGTCCAGTCTCAGAATCTGCATAGATGAACCTGAATGCAGAAGATCGCTCCATGCACGATCTCACACAAGTTCCAGCAAAAGACAGTTACCCTTATATTCATGTTTTACTACTGTTTATAAGCATAAGTAGAGACCACCGTTTCGGGCCTGCAGAAAAGATAATTCACAAAGTGAGGATAAGGAGAGAGACAAGTGTGATGAAGTTGAAGTAGCTTCTGTTGTTTAGAATGCCCAGGATATCCTGCTGTTGAGAGAATCATCACTCCTCTTCCTCCAGGGTGCTCCAGCTTATGAACCTGACAGATTCCCGCTTGGCTCAGGCGGGTAATGAGAAGCTCGAATTGGCCATGCTGAGCTTTTTTGAGCAGTTTCGTAAGATCTACATTGGGGACCAGGTGCAGAAATCCTCGAAGGTAACAGACTCACAGTTAGCTCCATTTCTCACTTCTCGGGTGCAGAGTTGCTGATGGAGGGGAAACAGTTGATCACAGTTACAATAAGTCTCCAGATTTCCAGTATTGAGATAATCCAAATGTTTTCTCTTAGTCTGTAGAATTCTGAGAATCGTCAACAAATTGGTCCTGTTTCTCTAGTGCTCCATATGCTTAACAAATGGCCAGTCAAAACATCTGTTGTACTCCCCCAGATTGGCAGTTCTTAGTCTCTATACATGAATTAATGTTGAGAACAGCCGGTAGTTTTGGCAGTGTTTGAAGAATTTCAGGATTGAAGGGGTCCAATAAGAGAACACAGCCTCCATCTAGTATTTAGAACATTGAAGCTAGCCTGACCCTTCAGTACATACTGAACTGTCCTACATCTTACCTGCTGAGTGTGGACACATTTTAGACAGCCCAGGGTTGTGATTGTTCTAATCTATGTCATTTGATTATTTTCTCTTAACTTTGCATGACACCAGCTGTACCGCCGACTCTCAGAAGTTCTGGGGTTGAATGATGAGACGATGGTGCTGAGTGTCTTCATAGGAAAAGTGTAAGTGTTGTGGCTCACCGTCAGCAAGAGGCCCTGCAGTCCTGTTGCAACTGTAGTGACCCAGGCACTTTGCTGCCACTGCCTTGCTATTCTAGCCTTGATCGTTTGCGTCAGAGAATTGTGCATTTGAGTGTGTGACACGCTGTGCTTAGAGATATGGCCCGGCCCCAGAGCATTCCAGGCTTGTGTAGAATTTACCGAATCTTCTCTTTAGCCTCTGGAATCCCAGTTGAAATCCTGTCAAGGCATTCACAAAATGGAGCTCCTCCCCAGTGATTGGTATTTGTCCTCTCACTCTCGGGCACTGAGCTGTCCGGGATGCCCAGAGTAGGCATTTGTTTTCTGGTGCTGATTTCCATTAGGAATGCCTGCCACACCCCCAAGGGGAGAGCCTAACATGGGCTTACTCTTCTCAGGAAGCATCATACCCTCCAGGAGTCTCAATCTCCAAAATCTGCTCCTGCTGTTTGAATGTCTTCAAAGTTGGTGCTTCTAATTGGCCCTTTTCCTGTTTTTGTTTTTGTTGTTTTTAAGTTATGTCCCTTGGTTACATTTTCCTCTTTTTAGGAGCTCTATTTATCAAAGCACACACTAGGAGTCAATAATAACCCAGGGCTGTGTGCAAAGTACTATTTTACTTCCTTGCAACTGACCCAGCTTAATCACTGATCTCCATGTGCTGGTTAATTAATAATTTAAGATGGAAAAAGCAAAGGGGGTCTAAAGGACTCTGCCAGCCAAGAATCCAGAAGCAAGGGCTACTAGAGTTCTGCAGCTGACAGTGGATGGTGCAGGTGCAGAGTTGCATACGTCTGCATGTTATCACTGCCGCAGAAATCTCTTACCCTTGCTGCAGAAATCAGCCCTGGAGTGCCCCAGAATTCCAAGGGCCTGGGTATGGGCCAGTGTAGCTTTGGAACCAAGTAGTGAAGATTATCTGAAGGATAATTTTTCTAGTCAACCAAATGTAAGTACAGAGATTTTATACCCTTTTTTTTTTTCCTGTGGTCGTGATGTCTGTGAATTGGTGATACAGATGTGTGGTGATTTTTGATTGATGAATTTCTTCTTTCAACCCACAAGGAAATCGGATGCATCCAAAGTTTCTCTTCTCTTTTCTTTTTTTCCTCCAGCATCACCAACTTGAAGTACTGGGGGCGTTGTGAACCAATCACCTCCAAGACGCTGCAGCTTCTCAATGACCTCTCCATTGGATATCCTTTAAGCTAGACTCTGAGCAAGTTAAAAAGAGAGTCACATGGTTTTCTGCTGCTGCTGTAACTTGGGTGTAGCTTGGACTCAAGTGTTTTCTATTTTCCTAGGAGCCAAAGGCAATACACACAGAGTCTAGAATAATTCCAAGTCCCTAAAAGTGAAGCACCACACAATATAATAGTTACTATAGATATATCCCTGACTGGTTCTAAGATTCGTAAATACCAGGGACCTGGGACCTGGCTCACTGATGTGCTCTCTGTAACTAAGTTCTTAGCATCTGTAGTGAAAGCAAAGCCTCTGGCTCTTTGGTGTAAGAGCATCCTGACACTAAGTTTTCCCACAGTAATGACTTGCAACCCTTGATCTGAATGACATCTGCTGTGAAGTTTGGATTGCTTCACAGTTGGAAGCCAGTTAAGTACAAAAAACACTGTACAATTTCTTCAGCAACTTTTTCTCACATCTTCAAAGAACTTCATAGTGCCAGGCGTTGGTGGCGCACGCCTTTAATCCCAGCACTCGGGAGGCAGAGGCAGGCGGATCTCTGTGAGTTCGAGGCCAGCCTAGTCTACAAAGTAAGTTCCAGGACAGCCTCCAAAGCTACAGAGAAACCCTGTCTCGAAAAACAAAAAAAAAAAAAAAAAAAAAGAACTTCATAGCTAGTTCCTTTATAAGTAAGAGAGGACTCTGTTCACGATGCACAGTAGATACTTGGGCAGGGCTTTAAGGCATAAAGTCCCTCTTGAAATCCTGCCAGGAGGAGCTGGCTACTCTGGGATAGTCTGACTCTAAAGAGAAATTATGGTACTTATTTTCTTTAAAGTAGCAGTTTGGTGTGTGTATTCTCTTACTAATTAAAATACTAGCAGACACTGTTTCCTGTTTGACAGTACTACTCTCGTGTCGTTTAGAAAATAAGATTGTTAGGGAAACATACTCTCTCTGAACATTTCTTAGTTTGTGCCCCACTTTTCCTTGACTGTGTCCCTTTGTCTTTACATACAGTAGTGTAAGGAAACTAGTGAAGCTTAGCGCGGTACAGTTCATGCTGAACAATCACACGGTGAGTGGTCTCGGCCTTCTCCCTGTCTGTTCTCCAACTACCCACATACACTTCCTCAGCACTGCAAAGCAAGTGCTGCGATTGAGGCCCTGGGGCCTGCATCTCTGCCAGATTGCACTCCCATCGTCAGAGCTGCTCATGATGCCTGAGCTGTATTAAAGTCACCTACTGCTGTGTATGTGTGTCTATATACACAGCAGGGATAATTTTTAAAAATTAAAGCATCCATGTATCCTTACAGAGTGACCATGTGTGCAAGGGCTCAGTAATTCTGAAATTACTGGCTTCCATTCTACTTCTAACTCTTGTGTTTATCTTTTTAACTTGTTTTCTTTTTTTTACTAGAGCGAGCACTTTTCATTTTTGGGTATTAACAATCAGTCCAACCTGACAGACATGCGGTGTCGGACTACCTTCTACACAGCACTTGGGCGTCTCCTCATGGTGGATTTAGGTACTACAATAAACTCTAGTAGCTCAAGAAGTAATCTGGCCCTGTACTAAAGTTTTATCTGAGGACAGAGTAGTAAATATGGGGGAACTCTTCTCTGTTGTTTCAACAGTAACAATAGCGTCTGAAATAATACCTCTTTTCACACACACACAAAAAAAAACAGATCATGCTGTCATGCTCCCTGTTCTGAAACAGAGTAACAATATGCAGCCAAGTTTTCATCTTGATATGCTATAATAAAAAATTCTCAGCCGGGCAGTGGTGGCGCACGCCTTTAATCCCAGCACTCGGGAGGCAGAGGCAGGCGGATCTCTTTGAGGCCAGGCTGGACCGACAGCCTCCAAAACAATACAGAGAAACCCTGTCTTATGAAACCAAAAAAAAAATTCTCTTCAAGCTGGATACAGTAGTGTGCACCAGTTATCCTTTATTTGGGAGACTGAGACAGGAAGTCTGGGTTCGAGACCAACCAGAGCAGTATAATGAGATCCTTGTCAAAAACAGCTTTTTGAAGAATATAAAATTCTCTCTTTGACAACCACATCTGTAAAATAAGAGAATTATTGAGATTCTTAAGTGCATGCATCTTGTTGGTCAGAATCACCCCCACCCCATGCTAATAAGTGAACCCACCTACCCAGTCAACAGAGGGTTAATTATGTAAGTCTCCAGTGCATAGGAACCAGGGAAATTTAGTCACCTGGGTAACACTGGTGGTCCAACTAATCATTGATGCTCAGTGGTGTTTGTCATTGTGGTTTTGAGCTATTTTAATTTAATCCTGTTAAAATGACCGGGGACCTAGGTTTATGAAACGCTACTAAAGAAAGCACATGTGAGCAAAGCCTCCAGAAGCATCTCACCTAGCTTTAGCACAGCAGGTTCTTTCTGGACTGATGCATTCTCACCAAGTACAAAATAAACAGCATATAGTACCTTGTGCACATGCATGTCTCTGCTAACATGTGACTTTTTAATTACTCCTAACACCCATTGGGTTAATAAAGGGAGCCTTTGGATTGCCCTGGGACCTCCTCTTTTACCCCATCTTATTTCTCAAGCATTCACAGCTTGGATTTGTTGGCATCAGAGTCACACCCTGGGTTGTTTCCCTTTCAGGAGAGGATGAAGATCAGTATGAGCAATTCATGCTTCCACTCACGGCAGCATTTGAGGCTGTGGCCCAGATGTTCAGCACTAACAGCTTTAATGAACAAGAGGCAAAGGTGAGTCCTCTACCTATGAACCAGTTGACTTCTGGCTAGAGTCAGAGCCTGGTAAACCCAGGATTGGGTAGCTACCAAGAGTGTGCAGCTTATCTACAAACTGTCTCTTGGTTGGCATATGAACCTCTTGTGCTCTTGAGACTTTTAAATTGAAGATCTGGTAGTCATAGTCTTTTCCTATTAAAGTGTATTCTTAAGCAGTGTCTAGAGATTGTTGTGTACATTTTTAGATGTATCAACATGAAGTTACAGTTTCTTACTGCCTTTTGAATAACTGCTATGTCTTGAATTATGGCCCATTTTAATTTTTAATGGTGTTTACTAGTGATTTCACTGTTTTTCTAGAACAGTTCTGCAGGTAGTTGTGATATTTTGTTTATGATCTAACAAATAAAGCTTACCTGAAGATCAGAGTGCAAATCTGCCAGCCACACCAGTTAGCCATAGAAGCCAGGCAGTGGGGGCTGGAGAGATGGCTCAGAGGTTAAGAGCATGGACTGCTCTTCCAGAGGTCCTGAGTTCAATTCCCAGCAACCACATGGTGGCTTACAACCATCCATAATGAGATCTGGTGCCCTCTTCTGGCATGCAGGCATACATGGAGGCAGGATGTTGTATTCATAATAAATAAATCCTTAAAAAAAAAAAAAAGAAGAAGCCAGGCAGTGGTGGTACACACCTTTAATCCCAGCACTCTGGAGACAGAGGCAGACAGATCTCTGTTAATTCAAGGCCACCCTGAGCTACAAAATTAATCCAGTCTAAAAGAGAAGTAGAGCTCACACAAAGGTGATCTTATCATACCTTTAATCCCAGCACTAGAGAGGAATATAAGGCAGGAGGACAGGAGCTCAGTGCAGTCTGAGGTTTGGTGGAGACAGATATAGTCTGGAGATGCAGTCTGAGGACAGAATTGCCCCTTTGACCTGAGCATTGGTAGAGGTGAGAACTCTCTAGTAGCTGGCAGCTTTGCTTCTCTGATGTTTACCCAAGCTTTATTTACTAGACCATAAACAAAATATCATAGTCTTTGCAAAAAAAAAAAAGACAATCTTATCTGTGTTTTCTACTCTTAACTTTGTTTTCATACTTTTCTTGGAGTTAATTCAGCTCTTTCTCACTGTTAAAGCTGTAAGCTGTAAAACTATAAGTGCCTCTAAGCATATTCCAAAAGTTTTTCTTTGTTTGAATGTTTTTTAGTTTGACAATAGTCTGTACCATCTTAATTATTTTACATGTATAGTTTAGGTGTTTCTCCACTATCATGAAACAGATTTCCTTTTTAATTGGGGAAAAAAATGTTTTCACACCATATATTTTGATCACAGTATACCCTTCCCTAGCTTCTTCCAGATCCTTCCTACCTTCTCCACTCACCCAAAACAGATTTTCAGAACCCCAAAATGTTGATTGGTGACATTTTCATTGTCATTTCTTATTTCTGTGAAGATTTCTTTTGAGGGACCTAGGAATTTCAGTTCTGTAGTAAGGCACTTACCTAGGGTGCTGGCAGCCCTGGGTTCAAACCCTAGCACCACAACAAACAAACACTATGAGAGAATACTCTTTGAATTTCCATATCCTATGTGTAGAATTTCAAGTCAGTTTTGTAGTTCTTGATTTCTGGCTTTCAGAATTGTCATTTGATTGTTACTCTCCTGTTTTGTTTTGGGGTTTTTTGTTGTTGTTGTTTTTTATTTGTTTGTTTTCTTCATACATACTTACATGTTTGTGGATACCCATACCAAACTGGGAAGACCTGAAGATGTTAACATTGGTAGTAGTGCTTTCTGCAGGATTCCTAAGGGTACCCAAGCTGAGCAGAGAGACACCAAATAGCAAAAGGGGTTGATGGGGGGAATGTGAAGTTTACCTGACAGTTCATCTTGCAAAAGCCTCTAGTAGCCAGTAAGATGGGTAAGGACATTTGTTGTCAAGCCTGACAACCTGAGTTCATTGCCCACAGAGTGAAGGGAGAGTACCAAATCCTTGAAGTTGTCTTCTGACATTCACTATGACATAGATGTGAGCACACGTGCACGCACACAATAAACAAATAATGTTTAAGAACCACTTTAATTTTGAAAGATGATAATCTAAGAGGCTTTATAGCAAGATAGAGAACAATATCACTCTGTGTAACTTTCTCAGCTTTGTACTTGTGTTTGTACATTGAAGTCATTCTAAGGGGAGTGCACTATTACAGAACATACCAGCAATTAAACCTGTAATATCAGCCACTACCAAAAATTTAGTTAAGAGTTTCAGTGAATGCTAGCTCTCTCCCATCATCTTAGTTCTATTCAAAGCAAGTAAAATTACATAAAGAAACCAGGCTGACCATGGGCTGCAGTGGTCACCCATTATTTCTGCCATGGCCCTTGTGACAAGTCTTTTAGATTGACATACCTTAGGCTAGAAAGTTGAGCTCAAGAGACTGAAGAGATGGCTCAGAGGTTAAGAGCACTGACTGCTCTTCCAGAATTCAATTCCCAGCAACCATATGGTGGCTCACAACCATCCGTAATGAGATCTGGTGCCCTCTTCTGACATGTAGACATACATGGAAGCAGGATGTTGTATTCATAATAGGTAAATAAATCTTAAAAAAAAAAAAAGAAAGAAAGAAAGAAAAGAAAGTTAGTATCAACTCAGAATTGTTTTCTTAAAGAAGACTGTTCAAAGCATAGTACAGCACCTTTTACTAAACAAGTCAGAATCCTCAGATTCCCAGGGATTTCACTAACATGATAGATTTTTTAGAGCAATCATTCTATTATTTAGGGTGCCCAAGTAGAGATTCTGTTAAGAACAAGAATATTGGATTTATAGTTTGTAAAGAGGGTGATTGCACATGCACAGAGTGTATGGAGGCAGGGCCAGCTTTGTGGAGTCAGTTCTCTTCCTCCTTTACATAGCCCAGAGATCAAATTTAGGGCACCAATTTGCCCAGAAAGCACTTTACCCACTGATCCATCCTACCAGCACCAGATATGGTTTTTTTGTTTTTTGATTTTTTTTTTTTTTTTTTTTTTTTTGTTGTTTTTCGAGACAGGGTTTCTTTGTATTGTCTTGGAGGCTGTCCTGGAACTCCCTTGGTAGACCAGGCTGGCCTCGAACTCACAGAGATCCGCCTGCCTCTGCCTCCCGAGTGCTGGGATTAAAGGCGTGCGCCACCAACGCCCGGCCAGATATGGGTTCTTGATGCAAACTATATGCCCTACTCTGAGAAGCAGCATGACCCTGGGAGAGTTACTAGACCTTGTCCATAAGGGATTAACTCATCAGTCTTATTTCTAGGTACTGAGCATCCTGGGAAGGTAGTATGTATACTCCCTTTCTCTTCCTCTTGGTAGAGTACCTTGAGTTTCTTTAAGATAAAGAACTCAGGACATAGCCTTTTCTGCCTTTATATGGCCTTTTTTCACTTTTGAAAAACTGGGTTATTTTGATTTCCTGATTTTTACGTATTTCTTTAATGTCTTAAACTATCTTCAAGAGTCCTCTCCTGAGCCGGGCATTGGTAGTGCACGCCTTTAATCCCCGCACTTGAGAGGCAGAGGCAGGTGGATCTCTGTGAATTCAAGGCCAGCCTGGTCTACAGAGCGAGTTCCAGGACAGCCTACAAAACAATTCAGAGAAACCCTGTTTCAAAAAACCAAAAAATTAAAAATTTAAAAAAAAAGAATCCTTTCCTGGCATGCATGAGGTCATGGATTCAAGCTCCAGCATGGGGAAAAGATTTAACTTATTTTTGCAATAATGACCTATGAACCATACTATTTTTCTGAGTGTGTCCCTTATCTGAAATATCTGGGCCAGAGATGTTTGAGATTTCAGGAGGCTTTTGTAGATTTTGATATATTTACATGTATATAATGAGATACCTTGAGAAAGGGATGGGACCGATGTCTAAATAGAATTTAGACACAGAATTCACTTGTGATTCACATATACCTATGTACTTGGCCTGAAGGTTACTGTGTTTTTACTATTGTTCATGGGGACTTTTATTCTTTTTGCAGTGCAGAGAACTTAGGGGTCACAGTACTGACCTGTCTCCCCTGCTCAATGAGTTTCCTAATGTATTCTTCTCCATCCCTGGGCATACTGGAAATTATTTTGTATTTCGGAGGATTTTGGATTTCAGATTTTGTTACAAGAAACAAGTTTTCAAAACTAATTTTCCAGGTGAAAAGATTCCATTCTAGCATGAAGAAATGGATTCAAAATGGGGAGAGGGGTTGTCCTGTGAAAGGATTGCAATTGTCTGCAATTCCTTTCAGAGGTTATAGTTGGGGTGTTTCTTCTGTTTCTACATCCTGCTACAGAGAACTCTTGTTGGCCTAGTGAGAGACCTGAGAGGGATAGCTTTTGCCTTCAATGCCAAGACCAGCTTCATGATGCTCTTCGAATGGATGTATCCTAACTCATACTAGAAACATATTGTACAAACAATAACTGGAGTGAAGTTATATGCTTGGAGTGGGAAGGACAAATAGGGAGGAAGTTTGATGAAGCAGGAAAATGGTTTTCCAAAAAGTCTGCTAAGCTCATGATGCTCAATGCTGCCCTCTGGCTAGTACATAAATGAGATTGTCTCCCAGTTTCTCATCTGGATTCCAGATAAAAGTTGCAATGGAACCAAGCACCAATGGGGAACTAATGTACATGAATGTTACTATGCAGAAGCCACCTATGGTGGTGCACACCTTTAATCCCAGCACTCAGGAGGCAGAGACAGGAGGATCCTTAAGTTCGAGACCAGCCTGGTCGACAGATCAGATTCCAGGACAGCCAAGCTACACAAAGAAACTGTGGATTGGGGGGGGGGGAGTCCACACATGGTCTCCCATGCCTATAATTCCAGCAGTCAGGAGAGTTAGACAGGAAATCATGACTTTGAGGCCAGCCTGAGCTACATAGCAAGTTCTGTCTAATGAAAGAAAAGACAGGAGGGGAACATTAAAAACAAAAACTTGTAGATCTAGGAAGTATGTCTTAACTTTACTGATTTTATGACCTAGAAACAATTGGTCATTAAAATTTGAGGACCTGTTTTTCCAATAGTTTCTCCAACATGAAATAAACAGTTGCTCTCCCATCATATAATTGGTAAAGTATAAATGAAAATATGAAATACAGGGGCTGGGGGCTGGAGAGATGGCTCAGAGGTTAAAAGCACTGGGTGCTCTTCCAGAGGTCCTGAGTTCAACTCCCAGCAACCACATGGTGGCTCATAACCACCTCTAATGAGATCTGATGCCCTCTTCTGGCCTGCAGGAACACATGCAGACAGCACTGTATATATAATAAATAAATAAATCTTAAAAAAAAAAAAGAAAGAAAGAAAGAAATACAGGGGCTGGAGAGATGACTCAGTGATTGAGAGTACCAACTGTTTTTCCAAAGGATCCAGATTCAGTTACCAGTACCCACACGGCAGTTTACTTGCAGTCAGATAAAA